TTCATAGCGGTATATGAAGAAAATGTGTTACATCATAAAACACAATACGTGCAATCCCCCAAATAACCGAGAATCTAAACTCTGTGAAGAAACTGATGAAAGAAATATTACCAGGTTATCACTACGAGTGATGTTTGATCTAGGTACACGCGTGATGTACGCAATATTAACCCCATTGACGATCATACATATTCCGAATGTAAATACATGGTGTTAGGTGTGTATAAATCGCGGTCGACTACGAGGCACTCGTATTATGTCAATGTTGTTGTTTACAGTCAGGTTTACACAGGCATTGCCTGGATACCTATGTACATACAAGACTGTTGTCAAATCTGCGCAGTTGTTAAGCATCCAAGAAAACTTACTTTAACCACAAGAACAACAAATATAATAATGCGGATAAACGTTACCGATTTGTAATAGATTGCTATTTTCACCATTGCCTACACCTTTGTCGCATCATCAAATAGATGTTTTGGTCCAATACATATTTATGTACGATTTGTTTACACCCGCCGTGCATATTTTGCAAAAAAAAGTGTGGCACTACATGATTAACGTATATGAGAAGTCTTGTAAAACATGTTTTATGATTCCAGCTGTGTCATGTCCTCTACGTAATTGATATATCATATTATTTCCTTTTCTGGAGTAATATCATAACGATCTCCGTAATGTATGTATGTTTCATTAACAAAAGTAAAAAAGAAATAATTGTGTTAGGATTTACGTATAATGTCACAAGGACGTGAAGCCTTATCAACAGCATTGTACTCACAACCAAAAATCAAAATTGCACATGAATGTATTCAACAACGGAAACGACTCTCATCTTTCTATCACATGTGAAGAACAAATGGTAGTCGGTTACACTTGGTATCGTTTAAGTGCGTTCTAGTGTCAAAACACACGTCAAGTAAGGCTACAAAACTTTCCGGAAATATGCGTCCATTCAGATCAAACAACAGATACACCCCTGTGGTTTCGAGGTAAAAAAAGAACTGCTGTACTCCAATACAATCAGGGCAGCAGATCGATGTTCCCTAAACAAAAGCCACGAAAGAAACACCCGACTCTTCAAGGGTGCCCACATTAGTCGCCTTTCGCATACACGGACCTGTTTTTTCCCACGAAGGTGTTACAAAGTGTAGGACGCTGAACTACAAATGGACAATACATAAATCTTTAGTGTTGGTTTACGTTTTATACATGTATGTATATTGCAATATCATCAAATAAGTAATAAATACACATTTTCAACTTTGTGTCCAAAAGATGTACAGCTACACAAGGTTTGTTTATTTTCCTATTCTCCTTGTATTTCAAGCGCTAAGCTCTGTTTTATTGTAACAACAAACACAAATCAAACAACTATATGGCATGGTTATTTGTGGGGGTATCCTGAAGTTCCCTGTCGCACTGACTTTGAACTTTCGATCTATACGTTGCTTGCTAATACATTGGCATACATCGTGTTGTGTATATGACCTTTGCAGAACACAAGCCAAACCACACACTACTCAACAGATGTTGCCAGTACATGATCAAGTCCACCACAAGACATTCCTATCATCTGACACGACACAAACGTACAAAATGTCTTTATTTGCCGACAAACCATGTGCGGGTTCGGTTAAAGAATAGGTCTGATGTATCCCGCTACATGTCGTAAGAGGCGACCAATGTGCCTCCTCCTCCTTGCTCTGCTGCCACCAATTCAATACATGGTACCTCGGTAAGGAACCCTTTTCATGTGGCCTAAGCTGCTACTGGGACGTTAAACCACATGCAACAAAAGAAATTCACCAACGTTTCCATACATATGGTGGTTTGGCACGCATCGCCTCTATATATGACAATATCTTTCCTACTTGTTGCGTAAATTATAGCCCTAATTAGTCAATATGACTTGTAACCAGCAACTGCGCCAAAATACACAGCACTGGCAACGAGCAAGTTGTAATTTTTATATGGACAATTAACCTAACCCGGCCATGCAGCTGTCTTATGCGTAAGTCAGCAGATCAACCACATTGTGATTGTAGACTATGGTTTGAATTCCGACGTCGAGCGCAACTTTGGTATGAGGGAGTTTAGGATCCGTAAAATATTACATGTCGTTACATTTCCTTTATAAATGAACCATCTCAATTTATAATCAACGGACACAATCCTCAAGGATTGCTGGTATTACTTTCCCGTTGAAGACAAATGGTTCATTTCAAGAACCGTAACTCTGTATACGAAACTTAACATACATGGAATAATACAAAACATATAAAAGATGGAGCATCAACACCTAGATTTCGTGTTTTATTTACGGTTTACATGCGTCGGCTAGCTAAGATAGCCGTCATCACAACCTTTAAATACGGAACATAGATGTTGATGCTCCATCATTATTTACCTACCGCGATGGAACTCTACTAAATACCGTTAGGTATCCATTTCTGATTGTCCACCATCAACCACCAGGACGTTGGTTCTCCTCCACTCCGAAAGGAGTCCTAGTTTTAACATATACTAATTATACTGTAAAAGTAGAATTGTCGCGTGTGGAAACGTTCGCTTCGTGACCCTTTGAATTAATCGCAGTGTGGAAACTTTGGTAATAGTTCTGAAAGCTTTATATTTTGTTTATTAATCATCTATTGATACATATTCGCGTGTGGATATTTTTCTCGGTAATTTACGATAACATGTCCATAATGAAAAAAATCCGCTTTTTACAGTATCTAATTAAAATGTTCTGTCTCATGTAAATGTCGTTAGCATTGACAAATTGCCCGATCAGTCCTTTATCATCGGCAGGTAACAATTGAAAGAATGAAAGAACAGAAAGTAGTAACAAGTGTTTTAATTGGAATATCATATCGTCTGTCCTTACGAATCTGTCATAGAAGAAAACCCTTCATTTTGCGAGGTCATTAGTTAGTCATGTCTTACAGTCATGCAGTGATATAAAGCAGGTCGATCAATTACAACAGCCGCGAGTCTGCGAGCACATATCCAACCGTAGACATTTCTATGTTCTGATTTGTCTTGCGTCTTGAAACTAAATATGATGTATCGTCTCCTAATACCACAACAAGTTTAGTCAACCCTGTTTTACTCAGTCTGTTCTCAGTGAACGTTCAGATGTTAGATAATGGCGATATACTCCGACAAGACATTATCTCACAGCACTATGCAGACTTCACACGATGCATTTTCATATCGGTAAACTGTCAGCAAATGAAATATTCCATATTGTTTCTCCGACCCTCGTTGTTTTAAGTCTAGAAATAAACACAAATATAAAAACGCATCAGATAGAATATCGGGACATTCTAGAAAACAGTTTGAAGTGGCAATACTTATTTCTTGCTTAGATAAAACCAACATTGTTGTTCTGGAGACAGACGCCGCTCAAGTGTTTGTATATAGTTTTATAAACTTCCGGTGTTAGTTATAAAATTTCATGAACGTAAAATATGCAATTTGGTTTCCAAATATCTGCCAGAATGTTTCCATTCCTTGATATATAGGCACCAGCCGTTCTTGTTTGTTACACAATTCAACTGTAACATTTGACAAACATACTTCTCTTGTACGTTGATAAGATTATACAAGGCAAGCGCAGTGATAAACGTAGGCGTTTAACATTAAATACTTAAAACGCACGTGCAAACAGTCAGCAGGGGATTATATGTATCACTTACACATCTTTAGCGGAACTATTTCTAAACGTATGACATCATTCATTCCAAAGATGAAAAAGAAGATATGGATATTGTTGTGCGGAAGAAATAACAAATGGTGTATGTTCTCGACGGATTGAAATAGAATGCAGACAAATAGGTAAAAACCGGTTATCGGTATGCAAATCCACAACATATTCTTACCTAATCTCTAAATCACAATTGTGATAGAAGATGAAATATAAATAAAAACTTATCTAACTTTGAATTCAACAAAGAATTCCATGAGTTCTCTAAGTATATTCTATTTTAGGTATAACGGAGCATTTTTTAATGTAAGCATGATATATCTTGAAATTATTTCAATTATAAAACACCAACAGTGTAAGTTGAATTGGTCCCATCAGGGTTTGCTTATTTATCTCATATATATTTGCTAAAAAATAAATCTTACATATCTGAAATCTTAAAACATTACAAACTATTTTAATACACCGTTTAATACCATTTATTCAAATATTTTCAATACGTTATCACGGCTGATGCTGTTATTAATATATGTTATTGCACCGCCAATCAATCGGGACTCCAGTTTCCTCAAATGACAAGATGAACCATCTTATTGTTGTTGTTTTCGAGAAATCTGTTTATGAAACATTGTCACTTTTCAGACGATGAACAAAATAATTTGGAGGTCCAATCGTCGAACAACTATAGCCTTCAAACTGTGAAAATGCAAATGGTCAATGTCCTTTTCCTGCAATGACAGGTGGTACCATATAATTGAAGTTGGCAGAATGATAGACTGCCGCTGCTTAAAGCAAGGCGATCATTTTTGTTTATAGGTCTCCTCCTAGAAACAGACAGATATACACACAGGTGAAGCAAGCATGTCCTGATTAGCAGAGTCAATGTTTCCCCTGTCTGATCCTGTGACAAGTGTTATCAAACATCATATGCCCATCATATTCATGTTGGCAGAGATTCTCACATTGGAGCTGGCGTCTGCACAAAGTACAGGATGAAATATGTGTAGGGATGTAGGTCAGTATCTAAACAACATAGCATCATGTGAAGAAATCAGCTAATCATATTTCCGCATTTACTTCCAATAAAATATTGCACCGAAATTTTGTACTCTCATAACATGATCAGGTCCAGGTCTAAATAGCTTCATTATCCAATACACTCAGCTTCTATTTACCTTACACCTACACGGAAAATGTGTGCGAAGATGCGGCAAAAAACCTATATGCTGTACATTGGGAATGCTTGGGATTCCTCGTAGCTGAGCTTCCTTGAATACTATCGGAGTGAGCAGCAGTGTCTCCTCAGCCTCATCAACTCCAGACTGCTTCATTGTTGTTACGTGGGCAGTGTTAGTCGGCAGTCAGTACGGGTAGATAACAGACCGTTACACATCACAGACGGTATGCTGGACTGTGTTCACCAAGGAAGTATTATATCTATGAAAACTACAAGGTAATTTTATCTGATGCCGTTTCCGTTTATATTCTTTTCAGTCTGCTGTGTAACCTAGCAATATAGTTTATGGTTATTTATATAGCTGCCCTGTTTGTCTCTTCTGATTTCGTGAACAGAAAGTTTGCTTGTTGTTTTAGTGTAAAAAGATCATCAAACATATCAGGTATATTAACGCTGACCCATTAAGTAGTTTTGTTTCAATAGTTTACCTTATTTCTTTAATTTATTAGTTATTTGAAATATATCAAATATTTTCTGTAAACATATTTGAATATTTGAGATAGATATTGTTGCTTGATATTCACATTGAAAATAATCAATCCCATGTTCAAGGCGGACATGAACACACATTATATATAATGTTGTTGTTCCTGTATCGAATTGAAATCCTTGCATTTAATTTCGTTTGAAATGCAATCGAAAATATGTATTCCTGAATATTAATTTTCTCACAGTATATCATATATAACATATTTTGGTTGAACTAAGCGTTGTTGTTACATATATTCATTTCTTTATTTCATTTTTGTTTGGTTGAATTTTACTTCACAGAGTTTTCAAACTTTTCACTGGTAATTAAGATTGATATGGTGGAGGGTACGATATGGTTAACTTTATATCCTCCACATAAAGATAAACAAGTAACACGATATACAAAGCTGATGTGTAGTTGTACTGTTCGTTAACTAGGTTAGTAGCAGTAGTGTGAATACCACAGACGTTGTAGATAAGCTTACTCCTATAGTGATAAACCTTTGTAACTGGTATCTGTGTGTGATGTTTATGTTTCCACATAGGTATTGGTTTCATTATGTTCATAGTTTCTATGATGTTTGCAATACATAAGATACCGAACATACCCTGTGTACGGCACTGTTTTACCATCTATTAGAAATTGTATTTCGTTATCGCTCTTTTTTTCATGGCTTTTAAAATGTCTCTTATTGTTAATTATTCTTTTATTTCATACTATTTTAGAGTGGATCAGTGTATACGCACAATCCGTATTGTGTTCATCTTCCATCATTAAGTAACGTTTAAGTTGACCATAATAAATACCGGACTTAAAGCAAATTATTAAGTATTTATGTATTTCTGATACGCTGTTTGCTATGTTGGTTTACTTACAGTGCCATACACAGGTACACAGGGTTTCGGACAAGGAAAGTTAGAATCTACGTTTAACGATATTACCACTGAGCACGGGATCATAAGCAATCTCTCTTTTGCCATCAGCGTTGAAGTTACTTGTTTACTTAATGTGATTGCATATCCCTTTTGAGACGGTTCATATAGTTTCAGTCTCCTAGCGTTTAGGAAACATTTATACATGGAAGATTCCGTGTTATCGCTATCTGCAAATCTTGCTACACTTCAAGGATAGTTTTCCTGATTTAAATAAACATTCATAACTCTGTAATCATATTTCGTAAGGTAAGCGGCAGATAAGTTAATGAAATATCAGAGGCGTTGATTTGCAGAAACACAGACAGCTCAATGATTTTTTAACCGAAATTATTAGGAGTCATGATAATTAGTAAGTGTAATTCAATATGGTACGAGATATTTCCAACCATAATCGTTATACAAAAAAAAAAATGCGTATGTAAGTTTAAAGTATGTACAATGTGGTTGCTTTTGTTTCTAGTGTTTCAAACGTTTAAAGTAATTGGACCTGTGCTATTCCTTTATACAACAGGGACAGGTTTAGTGGTAAGATAGTAAAACAATGACCTATAACCTGTGTACTAGTATACTTTATACAATAGAAATAGGTCTAGTGTAATCTTTGACAAGTTGGACCTGTGTTGTTTCGTATACTATAGTAATTGGTTTAGTGGTAAAATGTTACCAGTAAGACTTATGGTTTTCATCTATCCATTAGAACTAAATCAAATGTTCAGATTTGACAAGTTGAATCTGTATTGTTCCGTTATACAATATAAAAAGAGATTATTTTTTTTTAAGACATTTAGAGAAACAATGCTATTAATTGGGTAGTAGCTCGATCAACAAGCTCTCCTGACTTTGTCGGTATGATGAAGGGTACATGTACCACATGTGGTTCAGTAAACGTTTATCGGTGAGGAATATGTAGTTGTGATTCTGTATACCATTCTTTGCGTTCTTGTGTCTGTTGTCGAGTGGTGACCGAGTTGTTACGGCGTCTGACATTCTGCCATCACTAGCCTTTATTTCCGGGTCGCGGGTTTGAGGCCTGCGTGGGGCAGTCGACAGGTACTTACCGCAGGTCGGTGGTTTTTTCTGCGAGTACTCCGGCTTCCCTCAACCACCAAAACCTGGCATGTCCTTAAATGCTCAAAGCTATTAATAGGACGTAAAACACAAACAAACCGAAGGTGTCTGAATTCTGTCTTTGTATTGTCTTTGTGCGCCGATTTATGTCTGGTGTTCAGATATTGTGGTATACTATTTCCTATTTTCCTCTTTCGAGACTAATGTAGGCATAGGTCAACTTCATATAAGTAGCTGTGACATTGTAAATCGGCTTGGATGTTATTGGAAAATCGGGTTTTGGCCATCTGAATCACAGTGTCCAAAGCAGATAAAAATGTAATGACGATAGTTTCAATTCATTTGGTATGCTATTGCAGTGAATGTTATTGCCATTTAAACCATATAACTTCAAGACAACTTACATGTTGTCAGTGTCTGATTTGGTATTTAACAAGGAATCTTGTTAGTTAAGGTGTCTACGTCATGACAAAAGCTAAGGTCATATAAAGGCGGCCTTTACGTAAGACATGACCATTTAAAGTGTCATCTTACTGAAACGTCATAACATGAGAATGGTTAGTATGACATTTAAACTGGTCTATTGTACTGACAACGGGCTAACCTGCCCTCAACGCCGTCAATTGAATGGTGAACGTTAAGCAAAAGGCAGTGAGTACCTATTTCAACGACTTTGGTTTGTCTCTGTTAGTCGACGGGCCAATGACATTACACAACTGGACAAACGGTCCAAACCAAGGCTAAAAGCGAGGACTCTTTAAGAATTAAGGCATTATGAAAGAAAGAAGGAAGAAACGAAATAAGGAGAACAAAATATCAACAGTATTGCGAGGGGCATAGCAGATATATTTTGGCACTTTCGTGTTCCCCAGTAGAAGGCACACCAAAAATACCCAATTATGCAGGGGTTCCCACATTATCTGCCTCTTACAACATGTGTATTCTTCTCTGAGTAGCCGACCTGAAGCTGTGGTGTGATCACGAAAACAAGGTTATCATTGAAAGTCTCGTGAAGGCCATCACTTCGTTTATAAAGGTCATGGTTTTGTAAACAAAACTCTGCTTACAGATCACTTAACTCTGTGTATAAAATTAAACAATACGCCATTTCTTACGGCTGTGCCTGCCGAGATAAGCCGATGCCTCCGTGGTATTTCCCTGACAGTTCCGTGTAAACAGACTCTCCAGTAAATGACCAGTGTTGCCCTACAGCACGCCGCAAGCAGTGTCTGTGTGATCTGACCGGCTGCTTTACTCCATGTAGTTTAGTATCATTCTCAAGCTGGTAAAGCAATAGTCACATTCCATTGAAATCATTATTGTTTCACGGGTCGTCGATATACCATCGGTCTGATATTTAAAATTCACTTCTCATGTGTAGCGTTGTGTGACCCATATATATAGCGTTACAATATTAGATGTAGAAGATTAAAGAGAAGAGAGTGGCATCGTGCTAATGTTTTTTTAAATAGATGGCTCAAATGTGTCAAGGGCAGGGTTTCAACGTTGATATTGCTGCCAATAATGGTTACTGTCGAAGATTTCGGAATGGGTATTCCATGTGCTAGCTGTTAGTACGAAACGATCACGTGATAGAAGATAACAGAATGAAAAGAAACTGTTTAAGTAGATTACAAGAATGCTATAAGAAATTGTTTAGCTCTCAACATTGAGATATATTACAGTTTATGTTACAGTAACAACAGTGCTGTAAGATGCTAATAATTTGTAACGATGCACTAAACAAACTGTTTACGTTTTGTGAGTCTTAATTAGAGGGAAAAAACAGCTCATTTTGTAGCGTACTGTATCAGTTACCAAATTGTATAGGTGCAATGGTATGCATGTCTTATGTCGTAGTCTTTGCTAGTGGATTCCTTAGTCCCCGATGTTTGTCGTACAATAACCTAGATGGGTACAGCGATCTCCTTTGAGTACTGAAAGGATTCATAATAAACACAATTGAATCATTGTTTGAAATTAGCCAGAAGTCATCTAATATTTAAATTAATATAATTAAGGGTTTTATTCACCCCCTCTTCTGCTTCGATTCATCAGTAAACATTACATCTCCAGCACACACGCAGGCATACACACATAGGGAGATATTAGCCAGATGGCATAGGACTAGTAGTTAGCGCCTGATATGGCAGCTCCTGCGAATTCCTCAAACATTGTATTGATTAATGTATATGTTAATTGTATTAATTGTATATATATCTACTGTAAAGCGCTTTAGGGTGGCTTATGTTAGCTTGATAGGGCGCTATATCAAATGTTGTATATATAGTTTAGACAACTAGTATGTCCACCTCTCTGGCCTCTAGCATCGCCAATGAGTCCTAAAAGGATGAAACAGCTGTATGGTGGAATGTAATTCATTGATATTTTGCATACTGTATCCGTTACCAAATTTTATAAGTGCAATGACATTCTTGTGTCTTATGTTCATCTTATAACAATACGAATGTTTTATGTTACTGTATAGCACCATTATACCAAACAATATCTATACTTACGTTTGTGTATTACTGTTCATATAGTAGCCACAAAACCGCAAAATGTTAAGTACTCCGCGAATTGTCACATGTTCTGGTACGATTTAGCTATGTATTACACCGTACCTTAATATGTCAACCATATAACAGATCGATCACATATCAACCATAACTTTTTGGTCGTTTGGTTCAGTTCAACAAATTAATCGAACTATCAATCAAATATTGATATCTTTATAAAATTGAATATTATTCCATCAATTTACGCAAAAGTTCACCACTCAGAAATCAAAAGCGTTTTAATTATCGTTCAAAATATTACAGAACATTGTCTGAACAGTCAAATTTATGAAATGATAACAGACTTAACTTGGGCCTTTAATATGTAGCTGCATTTTGTCAATCCATGGTCTCACATCAAGATCACTTGGCGGCTCTTCGATAAATTTAAATGTCTAACGGCATGGTTGTGTATTTATTTATAGCTTGTACAGGTCAAGGTAAAAGCTGAGATCCCTTTGAGTTGGAAGTAGAATGAAAAATGATTTTGATGCGCAGCGACCATAATGAGATGTCATATTACAATACTGTGTAATATAATACACATTGTAACTAAACAATGTTCCAAATACCGAAAATCAGCAGGACTGGTCTAAAGCCATTGTTTTTATTTATCTTATCATATACATAAGTTCCCTGTCTCTCACTTCCTTATCATTTTCAAAACAAATATAAGATCAACCACTTATTCGATTTATATACAAATGGATTTATTTGATATATAATGCTGTATATATCGTGCTGTTAGTGAACTAAGGATTAACCAATTAGTTTCCGGGTCCGCCTTTCCGGTGTAAACTCTATAGCACAACTTGCCTAATTGATTTCTATCACCTGTTTTCAGAATACTGGTAGACACCGCAGTGGCATTTTAATCTCTGTGCAGCATCATAGAAAGTGATTACCATCCAGCCCGACTAGTTTTAGTTGCCCCATCCTAGGTGTATATATAGACCGAGCCTGCGCCATGGCACTCTTTAGATCGGAGCTACACGTGCCGGTGAAGAGGGACGAGATGACGTTCCAAGACAGGCAAGTCAAATCTTGGGAAGATATGGAAGTCAGGATGGAGAAGCGTAGGAAGGAATGGGATAGTGAGTTTGAAACTATGAAGAACGAATTCTTTAAGCTGAAACCTACAGAGAAAACTGGCAGTTCTAATGCAGTAGATACGCTAGATAACCTGAAAACTATTTTTGTTAACGATCTACAGGGTGGTCAGAAATTCAAAGTACGCTTTGACGTCAGCGAATTTAGACCAGAGGAAATACAGGTTCGTGTGCAAGATAATAAAATAGCTGTTTCGGCAAAGCACGAGGAGAAATCCACATCCTCGTCAGTTGTTAAGGAGTACAGTCGGCAAGTGGATATACCGAGTAACGTAGACCAAGATAAACTCCAGTGCATCCTCAGTAAAGACGGAATACTGTCCATCGAAGGTCCAGTAAGAGGACAGATTTTAGGAAAGGAAACTATGTTACCTATTCAGCACGCTGTGGGCAGTATTTCTCCTTCAACAAACGGTACAAACGGGATGGCCTGTACCCCGTCTCCTAACAACCAGATCGCCATAGCCAGGCCACTAGAGGTCAGCACTAACACGGTTAAGAATCCTATAATAACCGAACCGGACGGAACACGAAAACTCCGGTTAAGTGTTGACGTGGGTGAATTTAAACCGGAGGAAATTGTAGTGAAAACAGACAAAAAGAAGTTAATTGTACATGCAGAACACGAAGAGAAATTAACTGGTAGAACAATGCACAAAGAATTCAATAAAGAGTATGAACTACCCGATAGTGTAGACCAGACTGCCATTTCAGCCTACATTGGAGAGGAAGGTAAACTATATATCGAAGCTCCCTTGAAACAAGTCGCACAGAAACGTTACTCCATCACACAGAGCCACGACGTCCGGAAAGTGGTGGTCACTAAAGAGTCGCAGGTGACCGTCACGGACAACCAAAACCGGCCTCTGGTCACAATCAACGTCCATCGGCGTTAGATTTTACAGTTCGGAGTCCTACCGTTCGGAGTCCTACTTGGAGGGAACCTCTGTGTTAACTATGTTATGCTAGTGGGGCCATCTTGTGTCTTGTGTGAACCGAAGGACGTTTATTTCGAGTGATTAAAGAGTTGATTTGATGCTAAGAACAGGATGAAACATCATTAACGAGAAAGATAGTATCAAAAATGAATACCGGAGTTTTAATCCGTGATAATTCCAGGGATATGCTGTTTTACTCTACGATAATTAAGGAGGATTTAAAGTACTCGGTTTAAAATCAAAACCGATTTCGGATATCAACTTGATCCTTTTAAATTATAAAATTTAATTTGGATTTAACGATATCAAGAGTGATCTTAATCCAAAGCAATTTGGAGGTGATTTTATATGAGTCACGAAATAGTTTCAACTGAAGAAAGGTAATATTTATATAGTTTAGCAATTAGGAGCATGTCACCTCTCATTTATTAGAACCAGACAAGGGCTTTCAACTTAATTATCATGCATGCAAATTGATAAAATAAAACAAAAACAATCAATTCCATAAACAAATTATTTGTCAAAACTATATATCAAATCACCCATAAATGTATCATGCCAAACTCATAAGTTGTCAAAATGTATTGTATAGAGGCATTAATGTAGGCGTTACAAAGTTTGTATATATTTAGTTAGCGGTGTAGTAGATGTTAAACTATATGTTCCGTCCTCGGTATGAGAGTCATTGAATATCTACTGAAATCACATTTTATTTCGTACTTGGACATACACTTACGGATGATGCTTCCAGCGGCACTCCAATAACATCAACATGCATGGGAAACTTACTTGGCGTGGGCTTCAAAATGTTTCAATTTGTTAAAGATGTTGTTATCAAGAATATGATGAATTATTTACCGTCCTAAATCAACTAATCTACCAACATAAGTCTCACACATAAAGAGGTAAGATTACTCGATCTATACATTTAGACGTTTTATCACCTGTACAACTGTCTTAAAATGTGTTATCGTTGATAATTTGAAGAACATAATTTTTTTTTTGTCCTTCCTAATAACCTATATTTTCAACAGTCTCACACCTAAACTAGCTAAAATACCCACACTATGTAAATGTCTGACATATCTTTCTCTCGTGATGCTGACGAAGCATCAGATTCTGGTTTTTGTTAGTTCCTAGATGTGGGTTTCTTTATCTGCATCGAACAGGATGCAATCTGCGTTCTAAGACGCAGAACGAAATAAATCTCCTCGTGTTTCGAACGAGATATTCGCTATCAGTGGATCGGACTAATCTTATCATTTATACGGCACCCTACATTTAAAGGTTTCATATTGTTAATCATGGTTTTCTGTGGCAATGGCATTTTAGTTTCTTAGTCATCTCTTTAATACCAAGTGGTTTTTATTCATAAGCCTGTTAAGCTTACCGAAAAATAAATGAACTATTTAAATTTAGGATATAAAATTAAAGTAAAATCTTAACCAAACATTCATGAATATTCATAAGGAATTTTGTAAGCAACGAAACACGAATATATTTGTTTTATAATTTAAAGTATTTTTTATGAAAGCACGCTAATATTCAAAATTGCGTGAAATTGAGATTACGTATATCGGGTTATATAAAATACAGCTGAGCTATGGCGTAAAGCAAGCTCCGTTTCGTACACTGCTAATTCTATGTAAGGGCATATGAGACACGGAGCGGTTATCACGATTATATGCCTGACTTCCTTTAACACAGAGCCCTGAAATGCCAGAGTATATATAATATCTGTTTATACCAAGTAAACATGAAACAGATTGCGTCTGAGATGCTTCTGCAAACGTTAATACGTTGCACCTGGCCACACCAATGTTGCTGGTCTGATCCGTTCGAGGTACCGCTAATCTTCGCCACCAGGGGGTTTATAGCGGCCAGGCTTTTCATCCCGTAATTTTTCAACCAAAATCATCTGATTTACGAGTATCAACCTTATTTAAGGATGAGTAGAATCTCTTTGATGGTCTTAAATTGACTTTTACGTACTTTTAAGTATTAAAAGAATTTCGTTTTTAACAGACTAGTACATTACTGGTGTGACGTATGATTACCATGGTCTAATGTTTCTGTACAAATATCTAGTGAAAACGCGTCTAAATATATATAGAAGGTCATTTTAACAGAATTTGTTACCTGATTCCAGACACAGTTTTTCTCTGATGTTTGCGAAGGTCAAGTAATTTCTATTTAAAAATATAACGTTCTAAACTAGCCCCACACTTGTACAGTATCTTTAAGATTCGGGAACTATCTTACCATCTGCCAAAATGTTGATCTCAGCTTTCAAAATTAATCATGGCAACACTTACTTCTTGACATAATGGAGTGGATTTGTTTTGGTATAAGGCAATGCTTTATCGCCAAGACTAAGTTATTCACATGTCTGGTTTTCCTACAACAGCTAAAAGAGAAACGTTCTAACCAACACATAAAGTCCAAATGAAAAGATAACAAATTAAAAATTACTTTTTAACATGTTAAGGCACTAATCTATATAAAACAATGCTTAATAGTCGATTAAATCCATCAAGTGTTTTTAACAAAGGAATGAAAAATAACCAAAATCAATTATGTGAAATCTAACCATGCTTTGAAAATCATAACCAGACTGATAAACTAAAGCCTGGCGTTGAATGAAATCCAATATGCACGTGGATTTCATACGCTCGTGTTAGATGTATGGACATGTCAGGGGTTGGGTAGGTCACGATTCTTGAGTTACACAGGTCTGGGAGTTTAATTGACGGGAATGTTTTACAAATAGTTGGAATAGTTCGTTCAAATACGTTTGGTTCGTATACACCGCCCAGTGTATCCTGTCTTGGAAAAGGAGATAACATAATTAAAAGACCGTTGCCATGGTTTCCTTGGCGAGGCCCTTTAATAACTCTGATTGTATCTCCCCATAAACAAAACCAGTTTCAAGCAGATCACGATATTCTATAAAGAAATGAAAAATATGCCAAATTTTATGAAACATACATTTTTAAAACGTGAATTTTCTGTAGATCTTACAACAACAAAAAAGACAAATCAGGCGATTACGAGTACAAAAACACTATTGTTTTAAAAACTTTCGGCCATATTTTTCCACACGAATTTGGTTTTGAAACAGAAGCATACTGTCCTTTACAGGTTACGTGTTTTGACTCGGAGGCCAATCATGCATTCATTTCCGGTGTTCGGTTTAATTGTGGGTTTTTTTTTTAACACTAAACGATATTACAGATAAACATTTATAACTTTGTTGTTTTTTCAAATCGTTCCGGAAGTCAGATTTGATTTGTCTAGATTGTGAGAAGCATGCTTGTGTGTTTCTATGATTGTAAACGTGTGCGATGTGTAAATATTTCGAAACTCATTTGTATGCATGGCCAGGACTCGTATGCAATATAAAGATGATACCAAAGATGTTAATATGTTGTCTCCAATCTATTGTTAACTTAAGAATACATGTGTTTGTAATCTTAGTGACACACACAGTGGAACCTTGTAAGTCCGGAATACCATCAATCTGATAACTCTTTAATCCGTACAGTTTAAACATATTAGAATTTCTCTGGAGATGGGATTTCTGTTTCAATGAGTGGGATTTATTTTTAATAACTTACTTTGTAAGGAATTCCAGATTGTCGGAACTTCTTGACTATCGAAGTTTCACTGTAGCAAATAGTATTTATATTACGTAATTTTAATTTAAAAAATGGCTGTAGATACTAGTACAACTATTTGAGTACATAATTTAGTCTATTTATGTTGTATCATTTTATTATTATGATAAATAATATATTGTTTTTGTTAGTACCTCATATTTTAATCTATCAATAGTTATTGTAATTAATGTGACAGTTTTTCGTGATATATTTCCCTATCGGTTGTTTTCGGGTCTATTATGTTTAAACCCTGTGGAATTATTTAACATGCTGTAAAGCATGACGTCACTTCCTACTAGTATGACGTGTCAATGTTCAAATGTTGATAATTTATAAATAAAAATTCCGGGAACTGAGATACTTAACTGAATATGATGATTTTGTCATCCTTTACGTTCAATTATGTACCATACCGAAGCATTGTGTTTTGAGTAATACAAATTAATCATCTTGGAGTTTATTTATATTTTGTTGATATTTTGTTAATTGATTAGATGAGGCCCGGAAGGGGGATTTATAATATTTTAATAGGAATTAAAAATTAAGTTTAGAAACGTAGAAAACAATACTGTTATATTTTGTTTATATTAATTTCTTTTATTTGTTCTCTATCATTGATTTAATTAGTTGAGTAATAATATTTCTATAATTTCCAAATCCCCCTTTCGTGGCCAGCATGTTGTCATGGGAAATTAATGTCGAGGTTCCTGGTATAGCTCACAGGCCGGCTGTGATTTATTATGTACATTAATGTAAATTAATGATTTATCCTATATGTGTAGTGCTTCACGAGACATCACACCATTACCCAAATGCTGCAATGAAATTAGACTTAAGATTGTGAAAATATTATTTATTATGCTTGTTGAAAAACACAACTGAAATATTAAAATAAGTAAAAGGTATTTTTTCTGTTGTTTCTCTTTCATGAAAAAGTCAAAAAGGTGATTATATAGCAGATCTGAAAATGAGTGTCTTTTTCATTTCATTACGTGGATTGAACGAGTCGAGACATTATAAAATTCACCATCCTGAAGTATATGACGTTATATCGCTTCTCCTTTATTATTATAATATCACAATTGTAACACGAAAATACCAGTCAATGAAATTGAAACGGGTCGAAAATATCATATTATAAAATGGGAGTTATCAGAGAAAACACATACTAATGTCATTACAAGAGGGTCATGTCCCTGTTGAACATGTATAATCTCATTACAGATCATTATACTTCGGAGATACCAGATAACGAAACACTAGGTGGTACGGGTGTCGACAACAGTTACCAGAACAAATTATACAACTCTTGAATCGGTGTCTTGTATGCTTTATAAATAACACAAGAAGGCCGAAGTGTAAACAAAAATGTTGTTCGATTTATTAAATCGAAGCAACTAGGGTAAAATATGGACAAACGGAAAATTTACACGATGACCATTGAAACAGAACAAGGATGATAGGACGAATAGAAAATCAGAAAGGGTAAGCGTCTTCGGCTTTATCGACAACGATCGTAAGGTAAAAACTAGGTCAAATCCGAATGATGTAACGTTCTCAATGTTAGGACAGGTGCAATGTTTAATAGAATCATCCCCTACCTTGAGGATGTGACAGAGAAATATCCAACCCGAAGGGTGATGTTTTTAGTTGTCTAACCCGAGAGTAAGTCATAGACAACCAAAACACTCCCCCCACGGGCAAGCCTCGTGCTGACCAGCCAAACTCTTACACCCGGGTTGAGATATCCCTGTCCACGGTACAGACCCATGTAAGATTCTATTAATCTCACACCGGTAAAAGTGCGGTATACACCTATCCAGGGTAAAAGAAAGACTCAGCAAGCATGGCTTATCTTACATGGCCAGCGTTATCTTACATGACCGGATATGAGGAGAATAAGTTGTTCCTGCGTAATTATTACAAAATAAACACATATCAAAAACCTTAACCGCGTATGGTTAACAAAACATAGCCTTCGATCCAACATTTTAGCACGTGCGATCTCCTACATTTCAGATAAAAGCCCGAGGCAGTTTCCATAGAGATTGTATGCACCATGTATGCATAATTTTGATACCTGGGATTAACTTCCGTGTATTTAATATACACCATCAAATATACTAGCATCAGACACTTCCTGAGGCTCTGAGATAACATCTTCTGCTGTCTATACTCAAAACGTTCATAGACTACGGAAGATGTTCTATGTATTTCTCGCTGTTGAGTCCCGAAATAAAAGAAGAACTTTTACTTTGAAATTTCGTCTCAAAGAGTGGGCCGATGTTTCGCTAAAAACGGTAGAGCAGAGGTACTGCATACACCACGGCTTTAAACCACAAGTCGGAAAACGTTCATGTTTATAGCGAGACTTGTACAGAATATCACCTATATGCATGAAATTAACTTCGTTTTTGTGAATTATTATTTCCGTGTAAACTGCTCTCCAAATGCGTTTTTTTGCACTGAAAGGCATTAGCAAAGGAAACAAACATCTATATATATTATTGAATGATACTGAATATATTATTGCGTATGGAAACGGAGATAACAGCACGGAGGGAATGACAAGGAGAAAGTGCAACGATAGACATACACATCTTAATCAAGGGGTTCTATTCTCGAAACTCATTTTCCCAACACCCTTGGAATAATTGTTCAAATTATATATTAAAAAAAAGGTTTATTGAGTGTCTTTTATAATTTCAAAATTAACTACGGAGATTTTGATGTAAACTATTTAAGCAGTCATCACTTGTTTGGTAACTTTTTTTCTCCCACATCGTCGAGTTTAGACATTATATCTAGAAAACCACATTTTCTCCCTTAGTAATAAATTGTTACTGTTTCCGATTGGGGAATCAATGGCCATGGACTATGATGTCAATACGGAAGATGACGTCGCTAGACATTGCTACCTGACGTCATAATTAGAAGATCAAATCAAATAACGTCCAAGGTGTTACCCAATAGCGGGTAACCAAAATGTTGAGTAACTCCTATCAGATTTATCCGCCGAGTCGGAATTATTGAAATGTATAGTGGTTATGGGCGAAAATAAATCAATCGCTAGGCTGATATCTGTCATTTGAAGATTACAGAGGAGAGACAGCAAACCTTAAAGCCGTTCAATCTTACCGTTATGCTGTCTTGCCACTCTGTTGATATACAGCAATGTATCAAACTGGTAAACTTGTATCATCCCCAAGGTTGTGCGTACGGAACCTTAAACCATGACGTATTTCAAAGGTGTGGAAAAGACGTTTCTATTGAGAGCGAACCCCTTATCTTTGAAGATGAGGTACAGGATGTAAAGACAGTCTACAAGCGGAAGGTTTTAAACAGTAAACAGCATATCACAAGTCCCGTCATTGTGGTAAGGAACGCTCACGTGACTTGTAAACTATATGAAAACAAACCATCTGGTACAATGACACACCAAAAATGTGTTAGGCAATGAACAGTGCAAATTTCAGATATTTTAGTTATTGGGAAAAAAGTACAGTAAATGTTTTTATAAAGTAGCAATGAATGCGTCCCCTAAACCCTGCGTATGTAAATGGGTAACAGTAGAATGAATGCTTATTTACCAACATGTCAATTTCATCAGCTTCTTCAATATTTCATTTCGTTTTAAAATTAAACTGATTATTAAAAAAATATCAAAATAGGCTAAAAATCCATATCAAAATCGAATAAGTTAAGGTTCAATAGAACCACGGATATTTCTAGACCGAGTTTTCTTTTGGTTGTACCTTACATTAAATTTAATGACGTATCAAAAAGGAAGAACATCTACTCCCTGATCGTCCAGTATTTAAACAGACGAGATACAAAGACGTGAAAACAGGATGTGCAGATTCCGAAGGTTAGAAGTTTAAGATGATTAAAAACACTGAGTTCGTTCCAGACTCAACATTTCGAAACAGTTCTGATAAAACGTAAACACGATTGACAGGCTAAACATATCCAGTACTTACACTACAAGTGTAGCCGTATAACATGGGTTTCTAGAAAGAACTGTCTCCTTACCTGTTTATTTATTTATGTGTAATAAAATGGTGTTTTTTATTTTACTTTTTATTGATGCGTATAGGAATTAAAAGGGGTGCTTCGATATTTCAGCCATCTATGTACTCTGAAAAGTAACTGAGACAATTCTGTGAAGATATTTGCCAATCCATCAGTCAAAATACTGGCTGGATAGTAGGACAACCTGATTAGTTGTGGCTTGATGGTTGGACAACTACTCTAGATTTTGGCTGAATGGTAAAACATCTAGTTAGATTTTGCCTGGACAGTATGAGAACCACATACGTGATGGCTTGATAGTAGGACAACTTTATTAGTGATGTTTAGATAGAGGAACAACCAGATTAGTTCTGGCTGGTTAGTGGCAGGGCTAGAAATTGACTTTAAAGACCACAAGTCAGTCGGGTTAGTATTTTCAAATTAAAAAAGCCCATGTGCAAATTCCAATACCTCAATATTATTTAACATGATAAGTAATATCGAATTTTGAATGGTAAACTGGTTAAACCACTCGTCGAGTC